ACTGGGTGCCACAGCCCAGGAGTTCAGATCATGGGTGACATCAGGAATTTGTGRTGCTCATCCCTGATAATGCCCACTTGGAGATAGTGTTGGATGTCCTGCTGTCCTGCTTTGCTGACAGAACCATCACATCAGCACCGCTGCCAAGTCAGCAGTGCGCCTGARAGCTCTAGGTATCGATTCAAATTAAACCTTGGCCACCCAGGCTGCAATAAAATGGTTTTTTTTCCAGTATATCTTTCTCTTTTTATGGCTTGAAAGTCGGCAGCCTTGAGCTCGTCTTTGYTCCACTTGAAAGATCTGGGGACTGTTCGTGACTTGCGTTTTTTAGCAGAGAGAGGAATGTTGTGGTTGGTGAATTGGGGCTGAGGAATAATTTCATTTATTCCAAAAACAAAATTCTTATCCCCCTAACTCCTCCTTTGCAAGTGCTGGGGGCTGGACATGATCCAGGTGGGCAAGAGGCCGATGGCCTCTGGCTGGTCCCAGTTTGGRCACAGGGCCAAGCAGTGCCTGTCCCCTGTGCCGGTACTACTGGAACAGTCCTGGGACCCTCAGAACAAGAAGAAAACAGAGGGACTGGAGTGTCCAGGGAAGGGAACAGAGCTGGGATGGGTCTGGAGCCCCAGGAGGAGCTGAGGGAGCTGGAAAGGGGCTGAGCCTGGAGCAAAGGGGGATCAGGGGGGACCTTGTGGCTCCGCACAACTCCCTGACAGGAGGGGGCAGCCGGGGGGTTCGGGCTCTGCTGCCAGGGAACAGGGACAGGAGGAGAGGGAACGGCCTCAGGCTGGGCCAGGGGAGGCTCAGGGTGGACATCAGGAGGAATTTGTGCATGGAAAGGGTGGTCACACCTTGGCAGGGGCTGGCCAGGGAGGTTTGGAGTCGCCAACCCCGAAGGTGTCCAAGGCAGGGCTGGAGGTGGCACTCTGTGCTCTGGGCTGGGGACAGGGTGGGGATCGGGCACAGGGTGGGCTCGATGATCCTCAAGGGCTTTTCCCACCTCGGTGATCCTGTGAGATCCTTAGTGAGGAAAGGGCACTCAAGCAYGGGCACAGACTGCCCAGGGCAGGGCTGGAGTCACCATCTGGGAAGAGTTTCAGGAACAAGTGGATGTGGCACTTGGGGACATGATGAGTGGTGAACGTGGCAGTGCCAGGGTGTTGATGACTGACTCGATGGTCTGGGAGGGTTTCGCCAGCTTTACCAACTCCATGATTCCATAATGGATGTGTGAGTGCTGCTGACAACCACGTTGTGATGGAGAACCAGAGGTTGAAGTGAGAGATCCCCCAGGATGAGCTCCCCACTGGAAAACCCTGACTCTGACCTGGCTGTGCTCGGCTTCATTTTCCTGAAACTCCACCCTTCATTCCCACAGCAAAACATCAAACCTGAATTTTTCAGCTGTGTTGGACACTGGAATCTTGCCTGGTTGTCCTAGGTGATTCCTGGTTCTGTGGGCAGTGCTGCAGGGAGGGTGTGTTAATGTCAATTGTGCAAGTGCTGGTGATTTCTGAAGGGGGTTGGAAACAAAAAATTACAAAGTTTACTTTTCATCTCAATGATTCCTGATCCTGCTGCCCCTCTGCCTGATTCAGCAGGAGCAGGAAGGTCTCAAAATCTTGCACTAGGATCCAATAGATTCAGATGGGATATTGGGAAGGAATCCTTCACTGTGAGGGTGGGCAGGCCCTGGCACAGGATGCCCAGAGCAGCAGGACCC